CAGTGGGACCTGGGCAGGGGTAGTTAGGGGGAAGAGGCAGCGGTGAGAGAGGAGGGCGAAGGCAGGGAGCGGGCAGCAGCTGCTGTAGGTGTGGGAAGAGCAGGGCGGCTGTGTGAGCGACCCTGCTGATGGGCCGTAGTGCTTGGCGTGGGACCGAGTGCGTGTCCCCAAGCCCTGCAGCCTGGACAGCAGTGGGAACCCCAGTTCACCTCAGTTTATCTGGCAACCAGCGAGAGAAGGATTTTATCACTAAAGTGGGAGGCTGAGCTACAATGACAGTCTCTTACACATTGAAAGTTGCCAACTCCCGTTTCGGGGGTTTCTCCAAGCTGCTTTTCCGCTGGAAAGGCAGCATCTACAAGCTGCTGTACAAGGAGTTCATCGTCTTTGTGGTGCTGTATGCTCTGCTCAGCCTCATCTACCGGTGAGTGGGGTTGGTGTGTTGCCTCCAGTCATGTCTTTTCCTGCAGACCAGCTGAGATGGGCAGAGATGCCCCACCAGCTCAGGAGACTACCCCAGGAAGGGTGGGAGTGGGCAGGGGAGGGAAAAGAGAAATAAAATCAGGCAGTGTCTTTTTGTGGAGGTCTGAGGCAGTGCCCCAGCCCCTCTGCTCACCCCTGACCCCACTCTGTGTCCCTGACCCCACTGTGTGTCCATTGCAGGCAGCTGCTGACCGAGGAGCAGAAGCGCCTCTATACCAAAGTGGCTCAATACTGCAACCGCTCCACGGACCTCATCCCCATGTCATTTGTCCTAGGTATGGGTCTCTCTCCTGAACCTGAGAATTGGTGTCCTCTGCTTCCCCTGGTGCTGGCAGCTTGAGAATGCCTCCACTTTCCATCCTGACCCCATACCAAAACATCCCTTGGACATAATCGGGTGGGAGATGGAGGAGCCCAACACCCCAGGGATGGCACTTGGCTCCCAGACCCACTGAGCACAGCTCCCTGGCCCTGGGGATACCAGATGGAGGCTGAGACTTCACCTAGCTCTCTTTGCACCCTCCTCCCCATGCCCAGGGCACCTTATCTATGTCTGTCCTACCCTGTACCAGTCTGCCCAGGGCAAGCAGGAGCTGGGGACACCTCCACTTCCATTCCTGGGGAGGGCAGCCCAAAGGGAAGCACTTGTGCTTTATTTCCCAGCCACAGAGAAATCTGTCACCCCTAGAAATGTGGCATCTCTCCTGGTGTGGGGTCATCCTTGCCTGGAACCACTGCCCAGTCACTCCGAGACCCCACGCGCTCTCTCTCGGTGCAGGTTTTTACGTCACCCTGATCGTGAACCGGTGGTGGGCTCAGTACACCAGCATCCCCCTGCCTGACCAGCTCATGTGCGTCATCTCCAGCAACGTCCATGGCAAGGATGAGAGGGGTCGGATCCTGCGGCGCACCCTCATCCGCTACGCCAACCTCTCGTCAGTCCTCATCCTGCGCTCCGTCAGCACCAGAGTGCTCAAGCGCTTCCCCACCATGGACCACGTGGTGGAAGCGGGTGAGGAGCTAAGCTCTGGGGGTGACAGCTTGCAATATGGGGTGAGCCTTGAGGGCCACAGACGTGTTCCTGTCACCAGGAGAGTGTGCTAGGTGCTGGGAATCCTTGCAAGCACCCCTGCCTCAAACTGCCCTGCGCACAGGATGGCATCCTTGCATGGATGTTCATCCCCAAAGAGCCCCACATACCCTCTGCCCAGGGGCTGTAGTTTCAGACAGAAACCCCTGTGTTCCCACTAGGGATGGTCCCCAAAACGTTCTCTCCTGCTGACGCAGGGGCCATGGCACTGAGCCTCTGCCCTGCCACAGGCTTTATGACACAGGATGAGCGCAAGAAGTTTGACAGCCTCCACTCCGACTTCAACAAGTATTGGATCCCCTGCGTGTGGTTCACTAACCTGGCAGCCGAGGCCAGGCGGGGCGGCCGCATCC